CTCACTGGTACATTAATTACACGTACCACTCCACTGGTACACGTACCAGTGGAGTGGTACGTGTACCAGTGGAGTGGTACGTGTACCAGTGGAGTGGTACGTGTAACCATATGTCCTGTTTAGGCTTAAAAAATTGTGAAGACTTTATGTTTATTCACATTCGAAGGATAATTTATTGCTTTTGGCATTGTTGTTGGCATTTCCCTAATTTTGCAACCCATTTTGGAACACAGTTTTTGGCTACTAATGGAAAGTTCCTATTTTTTCCCTATTATTGTTTATCATTGTTATGAAAAATATCATTGCACTGGTATTGTTCTCACTCTAACCTACCTTGTGGATTGCTCGCACCAGTGGAGTGGTACGTGTACCATTGGAGTGGTACGTGTACCAGTGGAGTGGTACGTGTACCAGTGGAGTGGTACGTGTAATTAATGTACCAGTGAGAGAAATTAATTATGTAATTAATGGGGGTGATTTCGTTTTTCCCCAGATTCTTTCTCTTTTCCAATGTGGTGAGAGACCCCAAATTACAAGATTAAAAAAAATAAAAAATCAGTTTAATTAATACTTGCCAATGATTGGAAATAAAATTGGCCAATCATAAAGGGGGTGTCAAAAATCACTACCCTTTAGCGGTAGTCACGCTAACTGATCCCGGGTGAGTAGGTGAAAACCTATTTTCAAATGGATTTGGGTCAAGCCGACTTCTTGACTACAAAATTGGGTACCTAGCTAGCTAATTGCTCCTGTTGGCGACGCTCCCAACTTATTTTACCAACCGCAAGCATTATCCATTGCCTTTTTTTTTTTTTTGGTAGATCCGTTGCCTATTTCTTTTTTTTTTTTTTGTGGGAAGCGGAGCGCAAAGGGGCGCTCCAACCCTTAATTATTGATCAATCGCGGGGTTTGTACCCCAAGTCTATCGAAATACAACCAGTAACTCAAAACGGCACTAGGGGCATTAAAAACATGTAACCCCGCAGGTAAGGAGTGGCCTACCGAAGCTAAGTAGTCTGCCACGAAATTGCATTCCCGGAATACATGCGTGATGTGAATTTCCCAGTCCAAAGACAGCATACGTCGAATAGCGGCAATAAGCCCTCTGTGCGGGTTGTGCTCAGGGGCCGAGTGAATAAGCTGTACCGCCGTAGCAGAATCAGTTTGTATCTCGACCTTCCTCAACCCTGTCTCCCATGCTAACCGAAGCCCGTGGACGATCCCTGCCAATTCCGCATGGGTTATTGATCCAACACCCAAATTAACTGAGAATGCCTTAATAAATCATCCGTCATCTCTTCGAAGGACACCCCCAGCCGTCGCCCTTCCCGTTCCTCCATTCACCGAGCCATCAGTATTCAAAGCTACCCAATCTGCCGGCGGATTCCTCCAACTCAGCTGTCTGATCGATCGAGTGTTGCATTCAGCTTGCATGAAATCCGTACGAACAACTGTCATGTTCACCTGCTCACGTACGCCTTCACCTGTTGTGAGATTGCTTCCGATGGGGCCAGCTGCTTCTCAAATACATGGCTATTTCTATTCTTCCATAATTTCCAGCAAAAAATGGCAAACAAGGTAGGCTCAATGCATTGGCTCCGACCCGCTAAGTAATGCAACAGCCACTTCTTCCTATCCGTTTCAAAGAAAGCCTCGTATGGTTCCTCTCCTAGTACTTGGGACCAAGCCGCCCTGGCATACGGGCAGTCTCTAAGCACATGCATCACCGTCTCCGGCCCTCCCCCACAAACCTTACAGTCAGCCGTAAAGGCTAAATGTCTCCTTGAGCGTTCGGCATTAGTTAGGAGGCGCTCGTGATGAACCAGCCATAAAAATGGCCGGACTCGTTGCGGCCCCGGGGTCCTCCATATGGCCTTCCAAGCAGGACTTGCATCATTCTCTTCCTCACCCTCTCTAGTGAGCGTATATGCCAAGCTGAGTGAGAATGCACCAGACGAGGACAGACGCCAACAAGGAACGTCCGGTTCACTCTCCTGCGGGACTGGGTGAAGTTGGAGCTGCATGGTAATTTCCTCCGGCAGGAAGGCCCGCACATATTCTGTGTTCCATTCTCCGTTTAGCACAAGATCGGCCACCTTCAAGCTCCTCGCTTCCATCGGGAGATTATTAGCATACTCAGCAAGGGGAGGGCCATCGAACAACCATACATCGTCCCAGAATGAAGTTTGCAGCCCACTGCGTATTGACCACATGGTTCCTTGCGGAAGTAGGTGCAAAACTCTAAGTACTCCTCTCCATAAATTAGATAGACGACCTCCAGTTCTTGGCCTCCAGCCGTCTTGCGTCGCAATAAGGTACTTTGACCGGATTACCCGAGCCCAAAGGCTCTCCGGTTCAGTAAACAATCTCCAGGCCAGCTTCAGCATAAAAGCCTCATTCATGCGGGTAGCATTCCGGAGTCCGAGCCCTCCTTCATCCTTTGACTTGCAAACTGTATCCCAATCAATTAGATGCAACTTCCTTCCCTGTCCCGAACTTCCCCAAATAAAGTTCCTTAATTTTTTTTATCAATATAATCTCGTATCGACGCATGAAGGAACGCCGTCTGCATAGTATAAGCCGGCAACGAGGTCAACACCGACTGGGCTAGTGTTATCCTTCCCACCAACGAGAGAGAGTTCACTTTCCAGCCTGCCAATCTTCTATCAATGTGATCAATGAGCTCTGTATATGTCATTTTAGACACTCGATCATGTATTACCGGGACTCCCAGATACCTGCCCAAATTTTTAGTCTCGGGGATGTTGAGAGCCGTACTCAGGGAAGTGGCAGCCGCAGATTGTACATTCTTCGAGAAAAAGATCCTTGACTTCTGCCGGTTGACTTGCTGCCCTGATGCTGCACCGAACTTCTCAAGACAATTATTAATCACCTGCACCTGGGTCATAGTCGCCTCACTGAACATAATTAAATCATCAGCAAAAAATAAGTGAGATAAAGCAGGTCCCTGCCCTGATAATTTGACCGGCTTCCAATCTCCCTGCGCCACTGCTTCTGAGATAAGATGCCCGAGACGCTCCATACAGAGTGTAAAGATGTACGGTGAGAGTGGACACCCTTGACGAAGTCCTCGAGATGGAGTAAAGGCCTCGGTCAACCCGCCGTTCCACTGGATTTGCATGGTCGATGATGATATACACCTCATGGTTATCTCCATAAAACTCTGGGGAACTCCCGCTGCGGCAAGAGTATCCCGAACAAATTCCCATCTGATTCGGTCATAAGCTTTGGCCAGATCGATCTTTAAGACCATCCAGCCCACACGAACACGCTTACCTCACATAGAGTGTACTACCTCCTGCAAAACACAAATATTGTCAGTGATGTGCCTCCCCGGGACAAAGCTCGTTTGTGTTTCATGCACCAATCGGGGCATGATAGGCTTAATCCGCTCAGCCAGGCACTTTGTGATCATCTTGTAAGCCACATTACAGAGGCTTATCGGGCAAAATTGATCAATGGTTACAGGATTTAGAACCTTTGGTATAAGGACTACTATAGTTTCATTGACTGTCTGAACTCTGGTCGGTTCCACCCAACACTCCTGGCCGAACTCCACCATTGCTTGGCCGACTAGGTCCCAACACCGTTGGTAAAAGATGGGGCTCAATCCATCTTTCCCCGGGGCTTTCAATGGACCCATGTTTCTAAGAGCAGCTAGCAACTCATCTGTCGTGAACTGTGAATTTAGCGGCGACCAGAGCTGATCAGGGACAGTATCAAAAACTGCGGGAATGGAGCTCATCTCCTGTCCTTCGTCGGTATAAAGGTCGAGGAAAAAGGCCCGAGCTAGCTCCATTAATAAAGCTTGATCATCTACCCACTGCCCCGCATTATTCTTCAGCACCGTTACTCTATTCCTCTTCCTGCGACTCATAGTACGAGAGTGAAAATACTTTGTATTCTTATCTCCCAAAGCTATCCAGTCTAGCCTGGACTTCTGGCACCAAAGCAACTCCTCTTGTAGGAGGATTTCCTCCAAATTCTCTCTTGCTTGCCGTAGTTCCTCATCATCAGCATCTCCTCCAGCCCTTTGTTCAAGCCTTTCAATCCGAGCTAGAAGAGCGTTTTTTTTTTTGTTAATGATATTGCCAAATGTCTCCCTATTCCATCTTCTCGCCTCCCGGACAAACTCGGAGATAGAGCTCAGCAAATCAGATCCTCTTCCCCAAGCTGTGACCACCATATCATGAAACCCTTCATGCATCAACCATGCTGCGAGGAACTTGATAGGTTTTGGGCCAGCAGGCTGAGCGCTCGGGTTTAGGGTGATGAGAATCGGTCGATGATCACTTTTAACCTTGGGTAGGTGCCGCACAGTTGCTTCGGGAAAAGCTGAAGCTCCATTTGCATTAATGAGTCCTCTATCCAGCCTCTCTTTCGTCTTGGCTCGGAACCACGTAAAGGGTGGTCCCGTGAAGCCCATGTCTTCCAAACCTGCATCAAGAATACAGTCTTGAAACTCGCGGGCTCTGCTAACGGCGCTCCCCCCATCTTGTCGGACGCAAGCAGAATTGAGTTAAAATCCCCCGCAAGAATCCATGGGTTCATCATTTCCTCAGCGATGGAGCGGATAGACTGCCACAGAGTTCTTCTCTGAACCAAGGCAGGAGAGGCATAGATTGCCGTTAGGAACCAAAACTCTGGCCCTGCTTGAACTCGAACATGTAAAAACTGTTCCGATCTATCTTCTTCAGTAATAGTGATCAGCGAAGAATCCCAAAGTACCCATATACCTCTAGAGAATCCCACTGCATCAGCTATTAACCATTTATCAAATCCCATCGACTGAATCACCTTCTCAGCTGTCACACCACTTATTCTCGGTTCGACAATTATCACAATATCCGGTCGATACTTCCTTTTATATTCTCTGAACACTCGCAAGAAGCGTCTGCTCCCTGCCCCCCTACATTTCCATGAAAATATGTTCGGCATCATATCTAACATGGGAGAGTGGGTCTCGGCGAAAACCTAAATCACTTTGTGTCTCGAGACTCCTCCGGGTGGAGGACCCTCGTTGTGCTCTCTTGGACTACATGGTGTGCTTTATCAGTGACATCCCTTGATTTTTTAGCCACACTTGAAATAATGGGTTGACCTGGTTGTATATCAGGCGGCTCTGCTGTCTTCCCCGAGTCAAATCTGGTGGATTTTATACCTTCAAACTTGTTCGGCTGGTCCACCATTTCACAATCCAACCCTTCCTCTCGTTCCACTGATTCTCCCGCAGAGTTTTTGGGATTCCCAAGTTTTGAGTTTGGCTTCACTACTGTTCTATTCTCCAATGATGCCAATGGCTGTTTATCCCCTTGGTTAACTATTTGTTCTCTCTCTACTGCAGGTTCGCGTGGGACATGTTTTCCTTTCTCCTTCTTCTTTGTCCGCGCTTGGGTACTCTGAGCTGTTCCCGCCTCCACCGGATGGACTACTGGGGACGTATCTTCCAGGTGGCCCGCCTCCTCCTCCACGTCCAAAACATTAAACCGGGAGCCCATCGATTGCTTGCTCGAATCACTTGATCCTCTCTGGTCAACATGATCAGCCTGTGCGTTACGTGGAACAGTCGGCCTTTGTGGTCTCGGTTTCTTTTTCGCTATCATCCATTCGCCATACACACAGTCTGGGGCCCTAGCTGGTTGCGAAACCGGGACTGGAGTTGGCTCCTCTACCTCTATCGGCTTGGTGCCGCATCCACATTCGCGGTCAGAATACGTACCACACTGCAGGCAAATTTTCTCCAACCCCTCGTACTGGATGAAATACGTGATACCCCTAATGGTGAACTGGGACAGCAAAGGTTTAGTTAAATCAACTTGGACACACACCCTGGCGTAATCACTCCTGGCTCCAGTACTGGTAGCGTGATCCACACGGATGGGTGTTCCAATATATTTCCCGATCTTCATGACTGCTTCCTGAAGAAAACATTGGATCGGTATCTCGAGCAGGCGTGCCCATACCAGGGTAGACGAAATCTCGTGCCTATAAGGGTTGAAATTCTCATGCCAGGGATGAACCGTTAAGTAATTATCACCCACCATCCAAGGCCCTCCCGTGACCGCCCTTTCATAATCCACACCCTTGGTAAAACGAACAAAGAAGTAACCGTTCTTCGCTGACGTAACTTGAATTCCCCCTGCTTTAGCCCAAATAACGTTGAGTCTGTTGGCAATGTGTGTATAGGAGACTGATTTGCCCAGTACCTTAACCACGAGGGCTGAGCGCCATTCCCTGCAATATTTCCTTTCTTCCGCCGGGGTAAAATAGATTGGAGGGCACTTGGGATCTACCTCACCTTGGAAGCCTTCATCCGATCCATCTGTACACATGGCTGCCGCCACATCTTCAGAGTCCGAATCCGCAATATACCACATGTCAGTCCTCACGGCATCACTAAATAAGCGTCGCGCTGTACCCACTCCCGAACCCCAGGCCGTATACTTAGAACGCTCGGGTATCGGCTGCTTTAGCTCTCCGTTCAGGCCGTCTTCAAGCATCTCTTCATGCACACTCTCGTCACCCATGTTGAGGACTGTTTGTTTTGCCCGCTTTTTTGTATGCTGCACCTCCTTATCGCTCTTAGGGTTCGGCGAGGAAGATTCCGTAGGAGGACGACATTGACCCGTAACAGAATCACCTAGAGGAGGACCCTCGGAGCCCCCCCAGCCAGCGGCGAGCCCACCGCCGGCATACAGAAAACGAGAAAACCCTAGCTTCTTTAGTCGCAAGAAATTTCGCCGCTCCTAAAAACCCTAGCTTCTTTCTGAAAATATTTCGGTTTCCCTTGTATTCCATCCATTGCCTATTTCTAATAACTATATATATATTTTCCCACACACAAAAACAAAAAAAAAAGACCATATTTATTTATTTATTTGGCTATTTCTCTCTTCCCGTTTTTTTGTAGTTTTGTTGTTTATGGAAATGGGAAAATTCCAGCTCGAAAACTTTGACGAGGCACAAATTTGGCTTCTATAGCATGGGCTACGTTTAGAGTAGTCACGATCAACTCTCTGGTTGGAAAACGAGGTAACGTTGGTGTTGTAAACGCGCGGCTACGGATCGGGAAATCGTCGGAATCGACAAAGCAAGAATACGAAAGCGAGAATTGAAAAACACAGACACACGATTTACGTGGTTCACTAACACGATGTGTGTTAGATACGTCCACGGGCGAGAGAGAGCCAGTTTCACTATATCAAGGAGATTACAGATTACATAGGAGAATGAGAAGTATTTATAGTACTTCTCCATGTGAGTGTAAACCTAATCCAATCTGCCAAAGGAAACGGTAACAGACCAGGCCCAGAACCCGAACCCAAATAACATTGAGCCCATACACCGTGGGCCGGGGGCGTTGCCCTCGCACCCCCACCTGGGCGTTGCCCCTGGACCCGGTCAGCGAGACCCCCGATTATCAGTCGTAGCGGCTGATAGTCCGATTCAAGTCACATCAACAGTTGGGGCTTTTCCACAGGCAACATGCTAGGTATCATAGATATCATAGCAAATTAATTCGTTCTAATAAGTTTCAAATTAATTCGGTCGAGTTCAAATTAATTCGTTCTAATAATTTTCTATGCGAATCTGAATCCATCGATTTATGAATTCAACACATTTGTCACTTTTAATCTCATAGATATCATAGCAAATCCTATTAGTCGAATTACTTTTCCGAGAAATACAAGATATCTAGAGTCATACAAATAAATAGACATATATATTGATAAAAGAAAGGAAAAAAGTGTGAAATTGTTTGGTTATTAATTCTGTTGATGATGAAGATTTTTGTTTAAGTTTACAAAAGTGAAGTAAATCCTTCGATTACTATTATCGTCGGCTCAATCGTGTTGGTTGGTTAGTCAATGTGTTACTATAATTTGAAGTTAGATTATCATGTTGGTTGGTTTGTGATGTTTTTTCTTTACAGGTTGAATTAGTGTGAACGATGGAAAATATATGGATGAGTTGCGCCTGACTTCTATGAAGGTGATGATTGTTACTACGGTTCACACCTCTTCAAACACTGTTCGAACGAGAGTGTTTGCTACATACAAAGAACCTACGCTAATGTTACCCTACTCTTATGGAGATTCCTTGAGAGCTCTACGACTACAACCAAGACTATGTCTATGGAGGATCCTTCATCGAGGAGAGCTCCACAAACTACAAAGAAAAAGTGATAGTTGAGACAAGTTATCTGTGTGTTAGATTTTGATTTTCATTTCCACCGAAAGCTTGCAAAGAGTCGTCTAACCTCTCTCTCTCTCTCTCTCTCTCTCTCTCTCTCTCTCCTTTTCTCAAAAAGTAGCTCCATAGTATCTAAGCTAGTAAGTTGTTGTAAATGGAAGTCTCCGGACTCGTCATCGTGTCATAGTAGTCATCCACCATGTTGTCGTGTTAGATTTGATAATCACCATACTTTAATATGGATGGTACCATCTAACTGATACTTTAGATGCTATCCATGAAATGAGATGATACCATACACTTAGGAGTTGGATGGTGTTCTTATATGAGAATGTACCATCCACTTAGTAGTTGGATGGTGTCCGTGATATGAGATGGTACCATCCAGTTAGGGGTTGGATGATGCCCATGATAAGAGATGGTACCATCCAGCTAGAGGGTGGATGGTCCATGATACGGGATGGTACCACCCACTAAGAGGCTGGATGGTACCCATGGAATTGGACAAATAGTGACTAAATACTTGATAGCCACCTCACTCCCAACTAGTATCCACTATCCACCAAATATACGATCCAAACATACAATCGTTATACATGAGCCAGACTATTTAAATCGGGCGAACTATTCAAGATAGCCTATGTGGTATTTAAAGAAAAAACATTTTGATATAAACAATTAGAGTTAGACCATATGAAGAATGTACCATATGAACCTTCTCATTAAGTGAGTAACCTTTCTAAATAAAGCTTTTTATTATAATTATTTTTAATTCATCTTATCTGGAGGAAGTGACTCATTTAAGGAATTCACTTAATCAACACTAAGTCAGGGCTTATAATAACACTTGTATAGATATATGTAGGATGACAAAATAATCTATTACCATGCGTATTCAACCGAATTTGAATTGATTTTATTAGGAAAAATCTAATTGATATTATTTTTGGTGGATTTTCCACCAACACGACAAGGAGGATAATAAGTTTGGTACGCTTTTGGTATTTTAAGTATTCATATGTGTTGTATCTATGTTCTAGACCCACTTACTTTAATAGTGCAGTCATTCATATTCCTCAAATATTATAATTATCTCTTAGTCCTCAAATCTTGCTCATTTTCTATCAGTTTTACAACAATGTCACAATAAACTTCAATTACCATTGACATAAAATGAAGATTATATCAAGAATTGCATATATGATTGTTCGGAGATGGTGCAAGTTGGTTTTTCCATAACCGAAATATTGATTGGTTTTGGTTTGTCATATTACATCTCCGCACAATTTTGATTACGAGGATGATTACGATTTCAAAATAGGGACTTGGGATGGCAATGGGTTGGATAGAGACAGATAGTGCATATCCATTAATCTATTCGAAATAGTTTGGGGTTTACCCATACTCATACAAGAATTGAGTAGAATATCAAAACCATACACATATTCGATCGAGTTTCGAGTATCCATGGTTATCCACGGATAATAATTTATTTGTATAATTTGAATCAACATGTTAACCATTACACGTATACTAACATAGCATAAGTGAAAACTTACAACAATAAATTACTAAAACGAAGAAAATTAGTAAATAAATTAAAATTTAATGAAATTGTATGATAAATATAAAATATATTGAGAAAAATAATGATTATTTTCAAACAAAATACATATACATGCGTGTAATCGGGCGACTTCGAGTTGGATAGTGAGAAAACATGTCTACCTACCATCCACCATATTCAGATTCGGGTTTTACACGTACCCATTAAAAAAATTGAGTTCGAATTTTACTCTTCAATTAGATCGAATTCTAGGAAATATTCATAGATATGGTTATTATTATCATCCCTACATCCAATTTTTTTTAGTACGCAAGGGACAAATCAATGAAAGATAAATTGTATAAATTTACAAATCAATGCTTGGTCAAACCAAATGAATGTCCAATAGAATAAGCACTTAAACAAGTAAAGTACTGTTGTATTCACTATTCAGGACATAAATAAAGGTTTTTTCTTAAGAAATGTCAAGAAAAAATAATGTTGAATATGAAAAATTCTAACTCTCTTAACTCCTTAGAGTAATACCTATAACAAAATCAAATAATGCTAACTCTAAAAATATCAACATAGCTGCTACTCTATCAGCAATCCAAATAAATTACTTTGAACCAATTGAAGTTATTAATTTTCAAATTCGTGCTCCAATATTAAGACGAAATAAAGGAGAAGATATGGCTATGTAATTGTAAAATTAAATATTTTTCCTAATTGGGATCATTCCTTTTCAATAATATTATCTCATCAATCCCTTACAGGAAAACCGATAAAAGAGAGAAAGATATCAAGAGACAAATCAAAAACAAATAACATAAAGCAAAGGGTATAATATGATATCTAGTCTCCATTGCACAATTTGGACCAATTGGACTGACTACCAACCCCCCTAGGGATGCCCTTATCCATTTCATCAAAGTGACTTGGCCACAGTGAGTGATTTGGGTATTACATGGCAACATTACAACAAAAGAGGGGTTAGGTGGGAATCGATATGTATCAACCTTCACATTTTTCTTTTATCCTAATTCTTCTGTTGCCTTTTCTTTTTTCAAGTGTTATCTAAGTGAAAAGAAGTATTTTTTATTAATTAGAAAATGACATATGTGGAATTGTTTCGTAAAAAAAAAAAACTGAGTCTTAAAAAAAAAAAAAAAAAATGACAAACGCTCTCTCCTCTCTCCTTCAACTGGGACGATGGCTCGTTTACCTCGTCCACGCCATGATGGCGTCGATCCTTTTGTGCTGTCTGAGCAATCAGCATATGGCTCACCTTGGGAAGCCGCTCTC